ATCCAGCTTGCACCTCTGGAAGTTCTCTGTCAATATACTGCTGCAACCATTTTTGAATCATCTTCTGTAAGATCTTACTTGTATGCAATATTAATGATATTCCACAATTTCCACATTCTGTGGGATCACCCTTTCTTTGGAATGGGTACAAATATGGATCTCTTCCAGTGAGTTGGCCGGGTAGCTGTCTTTCAAATCTCTTGGCATAACCGAGTGAGTGCCTCCAGTGGGGCATCCGTTTGCTGAAATATCTCAATGGGTAGTCCATCAATTCCTGGAGCCTTGTTCTTCGCCAATTCCTTCAGTGTAGCTTTGACTTCTTCCTTCAATATCATTGGTTCTTGATAATACACCATCTCCTGAAATGGATGAAGATCGACCAGTTATTTTTGGTACAGTGACTCTGTGTATTCCTTCCATCTTCTCTTGATGTTTCCTGCATCATTCAGTATTTTGCCCATAGAATCTTTCAATATTGAAACTCAAGGCTTAATTTTTTTCCTTAGTTCTTTCAGCTGAGAAATGCTGAGTGTGTTCTTCCATTTTGGTTTTCTAACTCCAGGTCTCTGCACATTTTGTTATAGTAATCGACTTTGTCTTTTCTAGCTGCTCTTTGAAATTTTCTGTTCAGCTCTTTTATCTTGTCATTTCTTCCATTTGCTTTAGCTACTCTTTACTCAAGGGCAAGTTTCAGAGTCTCTTCTGACATCCATTTTAGTCTTCTTTTCTTGTCTTTTTAATGACTTCTTGTTTTGTTCATGGGTGATGTTCTTGATGTCATCTCACAACTCGTCTGGTCCTCAGTCATTGGTGTTCAGTGAGTCAAATCTTTTCTTTCAGATGGCCTCTAAATCCAGGTGGGCTATACTCAAGGTCTTCTTCTGGCCCCTCATGGACTTGTTTTCATTGTCTTCAGCTCCAAGTTGAACTTGCATATGAGCAGTCGATGATCTATTGTACAGTCAGCTCCAGGCTTTGTTTGATTGATGGCATTGAGCTTCTCCATTGCCTCTGTTCACAAATACAGTCAGTTTGATTCCTGTGTATCCCATCTGGTGACACACATGTGTATAGTTGCTTTCATATTGTTGAAAAAAGATATTCACATGAGTAAGTCTTCGGTCTTGCAAAATTCTATCCTGTAATCTCTGGCACCATTTCTATTACCAACGCTATGTTTTCCAACTACAATCCTTCTTCTTTGTTTCCAACTTCTACATTCTAGTCACCAGTGAGTATCAAAAATTTTGATTGCATGTTTGGTCAGTTGCAGACTAAAGAAGTTAGTCAAAATCTTCAATTTCTTCATCTTTGGCTTTACTGGTTGGTGCATAAATTTGAATTGCAGTAGTATTAACTGATCTTCCTTCTAAGCATATGGATATTATCACATCACTGACAGTGTAGCACTTCAGGATAGATCTTGAAATGTTCTTTTCGATGATGAATGTGACACCATTCCTCTTCAATTTATCATTCCCTGCAGACGAGACCATGTGATTGTCTGACTCAAAATGGCCAATACCAGTCCATTTCACCTCACTGACACCTAGGATAGGAATCTTTATTCATTCCATTTCATGTTTGAGGACTTCTAATTTTCCTAGATCCTTACTTTGTGCATTCCACGTTCTGATTATTAATGGATCTTTGTGGCTGTTTCTTCTCATTTTGAATTGTGCCATATCAGCAAATGAAGATCTCAAAAGCTTTGCTTTGTCCACATGGTTAAAGTCAACCCTCCTTCGAGGAGACAGCTCTTCCATAGCCGTGTTTGGAGTGCCTTCCAACCTGAGGGCTCATCTACTGCCACGACATCACACAGTGCTCTCCTCTATTCATGAGGGTGTCTGTCACTGGCCAGTGTTTTGAGACACAGGTCACCAGGTCCTTCTTCCGAGTCTGTCTTAGTCTGGAAGCTCCACGGAAACCTGTGCACCTGGGTGACCCTGCTGGGATTCGAAATACCAGTGGAATCGCTTCCAGCATCCTAGCACCACGCAAGCCACCGTGGTACAACACACTGACAGCCGAGTAGTGAAGCCATCTGTCACATCTTGGTTATTATAGGCCACGCTGGGGTGGGCAGGGGCCTGTAAGAGCCTGACAGTGAGACAGAGCAGGCTCAGGTATGTTTCCTAAACACGTGGGCACTTTCCACTCCCGAGAGGCTGGAGATTTGTTGGGATTCTGAGAAGTGATTTCCAGGTGTCAGCTTTGCTGTGAGCTCTTGTGCGGGCTTCAGCCTGAACACTTTGACTTGTTAATTTGCCTGAGTCAGAGCCAGTGGTAGATCTTGTTTCAGACCACACAGTTCACATGCAGATGGGTGCCTCACAACACGCCTTCCCCTGGGAAACGCCTGCATTCCTCGGCTTAGAGATGACCTTTGGGGCCCCAACCCTGGCCAGCGCTTTGCCTCGTCATCCTTAGAAGATTTGGGCCTGGAACGGAGGCGGTTGTGTGAGCTCAGCTCTGGGCTGCCAGGGTCCCTGCTGAGAATGGGGACACAGGGACTCTTCAGGGCTTCTTGCACCACAGGAAGCAGGGCCTGGGGGTGAGTCAGGGGCTGGGTCTGCCGGAGGGAAGGGACCCAGCTGGCAGGGGTTGCACTTGGGGTGGAGGACCGTCAGGTGGGGACCTGACACTGCCTCCCCGGCCGAGAGGGGATGGAGAGGGGAGAGTACATCTCGACATGCCTGTGTGATCCCTACAGAGAGGCCCGGCCCTGCCTCGCAGAGTTGACTGTTGGCTTCATCCCTCTGCTCCACACTCTGAGAACACACAGCAGCCACCTTCTGCTCTTGAAACATTGTGCTCAGGGCCCGGGGTTCCTGACACCACCAGCCAGCACTCCTCCACCCCCAGGACCAGACCCACTGCGGCTGATGGTCGCCACAGCTTGTCTTTAAAAGGTTCCCAGGCTCCCCGCACCCCCAGCAAGGAAGAGAGCACTGAGGCCTGCACTCTGCTGCCTTGACATCCAGCCTTGGCAACCCTGACACCTGCCCTGTGCTGACTGTGCCATCACGGGCAGACCCCGAAGGTGTCGCCCTGGCAGACCTGTGGGGGTCAGGAGACCTCCCTGCTGGCAGGCTTGGTTTGTGGGAGCTTGGCATTCCTCTGTCCTCCGTTCCTATGCCACGGGGGCCAGGCCGGCTCTGGGTCCCTGATGGTGTGGGTGGTGGGTGTGTCAGCCAGCAGGAGCACCCACCTCTGGCAGGGGCAGGAGTCTGCAGCACGGGGGTTGTCACGGGGGGTGGGCACCCCGCTTGCCAGCTTCTCCCCCATGTGCTGTGATGGGGTCTCACTGCAGACATACGGTACCCTCTTGCTCAGAGAGTGAATGTTGATGTCCCCAACTCCCCGTGGGTGTGTTGGACCTCCACTGTGAGCAGGGGCTGTGGGCTGCGCGCAGACAGGCCATGGTGCAGTGGACAGGACTCAGCACCATGTCATGGCCGGGCTGCCCTCCCCCTAGTTACTCTGGGCTAGTCGACACCACTGCCCTGCCTCCCGTGGACACACAAGGTCCTTGTGGTGGTGCTTGGACAAGAGCCCTGATGTCGGGACTGTGAGAACAGGGTAGGGACGGGCCACAAGGGCAGGGGAGGCCATGGGGACAGTGTCTCAGGAGTGGTGTAACCTCCTACCTGCTTGACGACACTGTCCACCCCTTCCTTCCGTCACGAGCTCTGGGTCTCAGCTGGACCATGGCTGCAGTTAGAAGCTCTCTTTCCCAGCCTTCCCGGCTCAGTGTGCCCTGTGAGCAGCTGCGAGGGGGGCAGCCACAGGAGGAGGGTGCCTCTTTTCCTTCTCTCTCGTTGTGAGCTGGGACATGGACTTGGTGGGATCACCACCTGGGACCACGGTGACGCACCCAGCCTTTCTCTCCTTCTTCCTCCCGTGTGCTGGGACGCGGACCCAGTGGGATCGCCACCTGGGACCACAGGCGTGCACCCAGTAGCAGGGCCTGCAAACTTTCTCATAAACAGCCAGGTAATCCTGCTGCTGTCAAGTCATCTCTGAATCACAGCGGTCCCTTGTGTGTCAGAACATGTCACAGTGGTCCCTTGCGTGTCAGAACATGTGAACTGTGCTCCAGAGGGTCTCCCAAGCTGTGATCTTTCAGAAGGAGATTGCCAGACCTTTCTTCCGAGGTACTCTGGTGGACTCAGACCTCCAGCCTCTCGGTTGGCAACCAAGTGGTTAACTGTTTGCACCTCCCAGGCCTCCAGATGGAAGCCACATGGGAAGAGGTGAGGGTGGGACTCCCTGCAGTGCAAATGCAGTCACAGACCACCCATAAGCAAATGAGTGTGGCTGTGTGCCAATAAAACTTTATTTACAGAAACAGGTCACAGCCATGGGCAGTTTGCTGACGCTGCCCAGGGGATGGCCAGATAACAAGCTAGCCAGAGGCTGGGCCCCCAGGTGAACAGGAGAGCAGCAGCTCTCCCTAAGAAAGGCTCAGACCCCCACCGGGAGACATAAGTGTGGGTGGGCTCTCTATTTGGTCTCTGTGAAGCAGGTGGGCCGGTCTGGTCTGGGTGGCTCAGGGAGGCTGCGGCTGTCCACATCTCGTCTCCTCTCCAGACTGCGCGAGGGAGGGCTCCGAGCTGCATGCCTGGCCTCTTTGACTTAGGTCATCTCAAGAATGGCCGTACCAGGGCCGAGGAGATGCGGGGGCTCTGAGACCCTGGCTCCGCTCCCAGGGCAGCAGGCAGATTGCTTCTGCAGGGGTGGTATGTACAGGGCCTTGTACGTGCAGAGCGGTACTGTCCCACTAGCTGGGCAGACGACACCGTGGAAAAGGCACGTGGTTCTGGCCCAATCCCCAGGACACAGTGCTGGTTCCTGGTGTCCAGGACACCAGCCAGGCCTGACCTCCCAGGAGCCACCCGAGGCCCGGCCGAGCCGAGCTGCTCTGGGTCCCTGCAGCCTTCAGCCCAGGGCTCTGCAGCATCTTGGAGGCCAGCGTCTATGCCGAGTGGAGGGCCGGTGGTGGTCAGTGGCGTCCGTGCTTGACCCAGTTCCTGATGGCCCACTTCTGCCCCGAGCATCGTTGTACCACCAGCCGCAGCCCGAAGTGGGCGTCCTTGGCCATCTCCACCTCCAGGCACCGGCCTGTGTCCCGGCTGATGATGGGGCCGCCCTGCAGGGGAGCCAGTCAGGTGGGCTGTGGCCTTTCTGTGTCCCGGGCCCCATGCTGGCCACCTGTGAAGACCGGGTCTTTCCTGCCCATGCACTTGTCCCACCTGCCTCACCAGCCCATCTTGCTTCCTGGTTACAAAGAGGTGCCCAGAAGTCAGGACCCAAGGCCCAAGACAGCTGCTCCCCACGGTGCTCTCTTCAGCTTTCTGACATGGTGGAATGAGGGAGGGAGACAGAGGACAGAGAGGGACTGTGGGAGAAACAGACAGGGAGAAAGAGATGGAGGGAGACAGAGACAGAGGAGAGAGGCAGAGATAGAGGGAGAGAGACCGGGATAGAGAGAGACAGAGAGAAGGAGAGAGAGCGAGACAGAGGGAGAGAGACAGAGACAGAGATAGAGGGAGAGAGACAGAGAGGAGAGAGAAGGACAGACAGAGAGAGACAGAGAGAAGGAGAGAGACGGAGACAGAGGGAGAGAGACAGTGAGGAGGAGAGAGACAGAGATGGAGGGAGAGAGACCGTGAGGAGAGAGAAGGACAGAGAGAGAGACAGAGAGAAGGGGCAGGGTGGGGCGGGGTAAGGCAGAGGTGTGTAGGAGAGGGAACAGGGCTGCTGACCTGCGTGAAGTCCCACAGCCGCTGGGCCGGCCTGGCCACATCCTCGCACTTCTTGAGGGCAGGCGTGCGGTCCTTGCCATCATCCACCAGACACTTGGAGTCGGGCAGGAAGGCAGTGGAGCCCAGCGGGCCCAGCTGCAGGAGGCCCTCCGCGCTGTACCGCACCAGCTGGGTGGGAGGAGCGGCGGGAGGCCTGGGTGTGAGGACCCCCCTCTCCGCGTGGCTCAGGCGTGAAGATCACTGTCCCTGCTGTGGCCTGAGTACTGGCCAGTCCCCGTGACTCCACGGAGACCCCACCCAGTGCCCACCTTAAACTCTCCTTTTTCAGTGGCTTTTGCTCAGAGCCCCGCATTTCTGGTGTAGTCCTCACATCCCCGAGTGGCCATTAGAACCTATGTTATGGCGAGAAAACTGAGGCCTGGGCGTTCACACCCAGGCCCGGGGGACGCCGAGGCCTTGCTCTTAATCTGCACATGATGCCGCCTGTGGGATGAGGAGAGAGCCACCTGGATGGCCCCGTTCTGCTCCATGCCCCTAAACTGGCAGAATGGTCCTTGGGGTCTCAGAATTCCCAGTAGGGCTGTGGGCACGCCCACCCCTGCTCCCCCAAGTTCTGAGCTCCTGTCAAGGCCACCGCCGGGGACAGTGGTGCTCGCACCTGGGAGGACATCCCATGGCAGGGGTACAGGATGGCACGGTCATCGTCCTCCGCTCCCTGGTCCAGGCAGTAGCCACTGGCCTTGCTGTTCCTCACCTAGGACCAGAGTCACAGAGAAAGGCCAGGTCATCTAGGGATGTGAGGCGAGCTGGGGGACTTTACTGGCCCCTCCCACTCAGGAGCAGAGGGGCCTTCTCTGCAGTCTGGGGGGCCTCCCAGGAAAAGGGCTCAGCTGAGGCTGCCTCGTGGGGCTTGGGGGCTGCCCTGGACAGGGGTGTGGTGAGTAGGGCCTCTGCCCAGGGTGCAAGCAGTGTCCTTCCAGGAAGAGCACTGCTGGGGGAAGAGGCAGACAGAACTTGACCATCACCTGGCAGGGAAGCTGGCTGATGGGTGCTGGCCTGGCTGAGCAGAGAGGCCTTTTGGGGACGGTTGCAGCGCCAGCTGCGGTGAATGGCCTCGCATCTGTGCCCCTTGCACATGACTTTGCTGCTCTCCCATTGGGAGGTGCAGCCTTGGAATCTGGGTGGCCTCAAGCTGGCTTTGGCCAGGAAGACGCAGCAGAAGTGACTGTGCCTCAGGGGACCGGCAGCTCCCACCCTAGTGTTGGAGCACTGATGCCATGTGGAGAACAAGCCTGGCCACCTGTCAGCCAGCCTGCGGACATCGAGGGAGCCCGTCTCCGCAGGCCTGCAGTGGATGGCAGACACGTGCACAGGCCTAGCCAAGACCAGCCTGGCCTGACCCTGAGCTTCTTGTTGAAGACCCGTCTTCCGGGGTGGTTTGTTTTGAATCCTGGCTGACTGAGATAGCGCTGCTACCCCACGGGGTGGCACAGGCCTGAACTCAGACATTAAAGAAGTTTCCAGCAAAGCTTCTCATGTCCCCCAGGGGCCTGGGGCATGGGGCACGGGGAGCCTGCCTGGCCCTAGGGGTGCCGTCAAGCACAGCGGTACCTCTCCGTACGTGAGGGTGTCGTTGTAGATCCTCATCTCCGGGTACACATTCTCCAGGTACCACTTGAAACTGCGGCATTTCAGCTTCTGACGCAAGGCCAGCCGCTCAGACACGTCCCCAAAGTCCACGCCAGGGTTCTGCAAAGCCGGAAACAAGGCAGGAGGAGTGTGTGATGTGCCAGAGAATCATGCGGGGGGTTGCAGTAACAGTTTAATGAGGGTCACAAAAAGCCAAACCCACTGTCATTGAGTCGATTTTGACTCATAGCAACTCCTGTTGGGTTTCCAAATGTTCGTGGAAGTAGATTGCCTCATCTCCCTGCCATGGAGCAGCTGGTGGGTTTGAACCTCTGACCCTGTGGTTAACAACCAAATGCCTTACCCCCCATGATAGGTATAGTTTAATAACCTTTTTTGCTGTAAGTGCAAATCTCCATGTGTTGTTGGAGTCACAGGAGGTGCCAATGGATAACACGCCCAGCTGCTCACCTGGAGGTTGGAGGTTCGGATCCACCAGTGGGCCCTTGGGAGAAAGGCCTGAGAATCTACTTCCAAACCTCTCCCACTGAGCGACCTTTCACCTCTCCCACTGAGTGACCTTTCACCTCACCCACTGAGCGACCTTTCACCTCTCCCACTGAGCGACCTTCCTCAGTGTGGGATTCCTTGGAGCAGCTAGGTGTGTCTTGCCTGCCGCTCACCAGCTGTGTGTCGTTGGGTGAGCTGTTGCCCACTCTGGGCCTCAGCTTCCCTGTCGCTGAGGATGGAGATGATGGAGTCGGGAGTGCTGTGTGTGTCGTGTGTGTGTCATGTGTGTGTCGGCTACTGTGGTGGCGATGCTGCAGTCTGCTCCAGGACGTCTCCAACTAGACAGGGGCCATGTGTGTGGGGGCTACAGACACCCACTGGCAGCAGGGCACACCCCCGCCCGTGTCCCAGCACCCCCAGGCTCTGTAAGAATGGTGAGGAACATGGGCAGCAGTGTTTGTTGGTGGAGGGAGGGTGTTTTCATCTGCAGGGACCCTGATATTCAGGGACAGCAGGTGTTTGCAGACCCCCCTCCCCCGTGTGGACAGAAGACCAGAGTTGTGCCGTGGGCAGTGGGATCACCCCCACTCTAACCCTGAGCAGCTGGGTCAGCATGGAGGGGACTGCTTTCCCAGGCCTGACCTGCGAGGCAGCTCCAAGGCTGTCCCCAAAGGTGACCCCAAGGCTGTCCCTGGAGTGTGACCCTGAGCTTTCTCTGGGGGCGTGTCCACCCGGCCTGTCCCCCTCCCATCATGCAGCTTTCACGATTCCCACCCCGGAGGTCTGGCTGGGCCCCTCTGATTTCCCAGCTCCCTTGCCCCCACTGCTGGCGTGGCTCACGGTCATGGGGATGTTCCAGGCCATGTACACGTGGGACTTGAAGTCGTCCATCCACACCTCTGCTGCCCGCAGGGCATTGCGCTTAGCGTAATAGTCAATGTCGTTGTTGTAGGGCTTCTTGGTACGCTCGATGTGGGCCACACGGGAGCAGGGCAGCACCTCCATGCTGCCACCACACTGCCATACCTGCGGGGAGAGGGGGCTGGCAGGGGACACCCAGGGACCCGGCCCGTCCAGCAGGCAAACAGGCAAAGGGAGAAGGCAGTGTCTCTGGAGAGCCCAGGTGAGTGGTTGGGAAAACCATCCCTCGATCCACCTGGTGCCCTGCTCTGCAAGTGGTATGTGGCAGTTCTGGAAGCTCTGGTCGGTCACCGTGGGCACGTTTCAGAAGGCGGGTTCCCAGCCCCCAATGAGAGCTCCCTCTGTGCCCATCAACAGCCACCTCCTGAGCCCCGCAGCCAGCCTGAAAAGCCTATGATCTGATTTAGAAAAGATGTGTTCACTCTGCAAACAGTGCCCTCTAAATTTAAAATCAAAGGGAAAAAGTGCATTTGCTACACAAATAGTTGAGGCTGCTCCAAGGAGACATGCTGTCCACATCTAAACAGCTGGCTTCCTCTGCAAATAAAATGCCAAAGAAGAAAAAAAAAAAAAAGCTCTTCTGACTTGAACCACCACCCCTGTTGTTGCTGGAAGAGGAAGCCCCCCTCAATGAGGTAGACTGACACAGTGGCTGTGACGATGGGCACAAACGTAGCAACGGTGGTGAGGCTTGTGCAGGTCGGGGCAGTGTTTCCTTCTGTTGTGCACTGGGTCGCTGTGAGTCAGAACCAGCTCAGCAGTGCCTAACAACAGCAACTTTCTGAACCATTAGCTATGAAACCAACCAGGCCCACTGCCATCGAGTCCATTCCGACCCACAGCGCCCCTAGAGGACAGAGTGGAATTGCACCACAAGGCTTCCAAGGCTGTCAGTCTTCATGGAAGCAAAGCCCAAACCACACCCACTGCCTGGAGTCCATTCTGACCCACAGCGCCCCTAGAGGACAGAGTGGAACTGCCCCACAGGGTCTCCAAGGCTGTCAATCTTCACAGAAGCAAAGCCCAAACCACACCCACTGCCTGGAGTCCATTCTGACCCACAGCGCCCCTAGAGGACAGAGTGGAACTGCCCCACAGGGTCTCCAAGGCTGCCAGTCTTCACTGAAGCAGACTGCCTCATCTTTCTCCTATGGAGCAGCTGGTGGGTTTGAACCGCCAACCTTTTGATGAGCAGCCATATGCTTTAACCATTGCACCACCGGCCACCCATTGTACAAATAGATTTTGCAGCATCCTCTGCTGACTTCTGTATTGTTCCACTGAAATGATACTTAGCCTCAGTAAGCATGGTTTTTGTTCATCTGGCCATAACTTCCCCCCCTTCCTAGAAAATGTGCCAGTGTGACCCACCAGGTTGGTTTCACCAAGAACAAGTGGGTCTAATAAACACGGTTCAATTCCTCCCTTCCAGTCAAGTCGTTGCCCTTAAACTCCTAATTCAGGCATTGTGGGATCCCACCAAGTGTGGTGGGATGAGGCACACTCCCTGCCTTCTCTCTCTAGCTTCTCACCACAACCTAGGGGTTAGGCAGGCACCACCGGCACTTATAGAGGAGGAAACTGAGGGTCAGAGAGGTTAAGCCAGTTGCCCGAGGTTGCACAGTGTGCTGAAGCAGAGCCGGGGTCTGATCCCAAAGCCTCTTCATTTCCGGTCAGTATTGCACTGCTCCTTTTCCGTCTTGGAGGCCCTATCCTCTGGGACTGCAGTTTTTCTAGTGAACGCCTAGACAAACGTGTCTGCTCAGACATGTGGACACACACCCGCAAATGAGTAATAGCTGTCAGTTCTGATTACTAAGGACGGGCCTCCACTTCCTTAATTGCTGCCCAGTTGCTAGACAACTTGGATTTTCCTCTTTCATTTTTTCGCTGTTAATAATAATGCTGCCGTAAATGCTTGGAACTCTTCTGGAGATGAACTTGGCTGGAACCTGACAGCCACTGCGAATGTTAAAGCAGCCTTGCCAACAAGTATCCCGGGTGGTTCTAGCTCGTGGACAAGGCTCTCATCCTGGGGCTCTCTGGTCTCTTGTCTGGTATTCTTCATCGCCGGAGGCCTTCCTGGGCCGTTTTGGGCTACCTGCTTCTTGGAAGCTGTGGTCTTTCTCAACAGTGGCTATGGGGTGTTGACTGCTCTATTTTGGGGCTGTGACCCTGATTTCTTGAATTCTAGGTTTATGGGAGTTCAGGATATACGACGACCCCATACAGCTCACCTTATTAGAGGCCGAGGGAGTGCCCGCCCTCACACTGGGCGGGGCTCCCTTCTTGGAGACCGTGGGAGTGGCTGCCCACACGCTGGGCGGAGCTCCCTACTCAGAGGCTGTGGGAGTGTCCGCCCACATGCTGGGCGGAGCTCCCTTCTCAGAGGCCGAGGGAGTGCCCGCCCACACGTTGGGCGGAGCTCCCTTCTTGGAGACCGTGGAGTGGCTAGAACAGCGGAAGTTCACTCCCTCTCAGCTCCGGAGGCCAAAAGCCTGAAATCAAGGTGTCAACGTGACCTGCTCTCTGGGGACTCTAGGGGAGGATCCTTTCTTGCCTCTCCCTGGTGGCCCCAAGGGTCCTGGGCTGTGACCGCATCACTCCATCTCTGCCTTGGTCCCCACATGGTCTTCCCCTGTGTGTCAGGCCAGGCCCCCTCCTTCCTCTTACAGGGACCCTCATCATTAGACACAGAGCCCACCCTTATCCAGCATGACCTGTCTTGAGAGTCCACCTTGTTCTCGTGATGGGACGGCCCGGCTGAGCGTGGAGCTGCTGTGGCGGAAGCTGACTGGGACCCTGGGCCATGCCTGGCACCCAGCCTTGCCCACTGACTGCCTTGGGTGGTCCGGTGACCTGAGCTAATATGCCTCCCGCAGCCTGGAGAGTGTGGGTGGAGCTTCTGTCACTTGCCGATAGACTCTAGGGTTGCCAGGGGGACGATGGAGGAGGGAACACCATCCGGAAGGAGCGATCCTGCAGGCCCGCTCCAGCTTCTCTCGTGAGAACTCATTCAGCACTGGTCCCTGTCCTGGGCCAGACCGAGCAAGCAAAGAGAACTTAGCCCTTGCTGCAGGAAGTACTTGATTCCAGTAAAGTCATGTAACTTTCAGGCGCGACACAGGCATTGGTGGCTCTCGCCTTCCACACAGGACGCCCAGGTTCAGGTCTGGGCCAGCGCAGCCCCACGCAGCCGCCCGTCTGCCAGTGAAGGCTTGCCTGCTGCTGCGAAGCCAGACAGGTCTGCACAGAGCTCCAGCCCTCAGCAGACTACTTCCAAGCGTCAGCCGGTGGAAACCATGTGGATCACAGTGGTCAGGTCCACAGCTGGTCGAGAGGGCGGCCCAGGACCGGGCAGCGCTGGCCCCACTGTGTGCGGGGTCATCGGGAGTCAGGGCAATGCCATAGCAGCAAGACAGTCTCCACATGAGTCACTCATTAGCTCCTCACTGCCTGTCACCCCACTGGCATGTAAGCTCCAAGAGGTGAGGTTCCTTCTGCTTTGGCTCATGGCTGTGTCCCCAGGGCCCAGAGAGGTGCGTGGCACGGAGAGGGTGCTTGACAAATGGTTGTTGAAGAGAGGAATTCCGCTTGGGCATTTGACAGCAAGCTTACAGACCAGCACTGTCCCGCAGAGCTTTGTGCGATGCTGAGCGTTCTCGATCTGTGCTGCCCACGATGTAGTCTTAGCCACACACAGCGGGTGAGCGCTTGAGAAGTGGCTGGTGCCTCCAAGGGGCTGCAGGTGTCATTTGGTTTACTTGGGTTGCATTTAAGTTTGCACAGGCCCATGTGCTAGTGGCCACTGCACTGGACAGAGGCAGAGGCTGGAGGGGCTTCCCGGGCCTGGCCAAGGGGGCTTCTGGCTTCACCGTGTATGAGGATCCTTAGCGCGTTGTGAGTGGCTAAGGGATTTTCCCGTCAGTCTGTCTGCAGAATCCCAGCCCCTTCTTGGGGAAAATGCAGCCATAGGCATTGTGGCTTTCGGGTCCACACCCTCATCTCCAGGGGGATCTACAGTTACCCCAGACCTCCCTGTCAGTCGAAGGAGAGGGGCCCTCATTCCCAGAACACAGGCATTGGGGTTAGCTCTGGAGGCTTGTGCTGGGAGGCCACAGCCAGTGATGGGCGAGGACCCTGGATGCCTGAGGCTGGAGGGCCTGGGGTGTGTGCTCCGCTGCTGGGGGGGCCACATGCAGCCCGGTGGGCGAGTTCTTTATAAGTGGAAGGCGTGAAAGCCCGCTCACCCAGCAAGTGTCCCTCCCGCCCAACTGCCAGCAAATCGGAAAGAACGCAGCCCCGTGCCCGCCCTGCACACGCACGCAGTTGTTGAGGCGGGGTCCCCACCGCAGACCTGGAGGCAGCAGCCCCGCTCCAGGAGCGTTTGTCTCTTCCATGTGAGAGTTAATGACCTTATAATTTTTTATACGTTTGATGTGAGGGACCAATATGTTATCTGACTGGTAGGATTATTTCTTGCTGCGTTCCCTGGGAGATTGATGCTTATGCAAAAGCGAGAATTTAAAAGGCTGTAAAATCACAGCTTTAAGGGAGACAGTTTAACCCTCTATAAATTGCAGACAAACACTGGCAGTAAATCTTCCACCCAGCGGCCGGAGCAGCCCCGTGCCCCAGACTCGGGATCAGGACTCAGTGTAGACCCCTCCTGCAGGACTGAAGGCCCTGCCCCGGGGGCTCTTCCCTTCTGCAACCCCCTGAAAAATCTGGGGGAAGACTTCTGGAGGCTGGCGTGGTGCTCCTTGCGGTGAGTGTGGCGGCTAAGGCTGAGGGGACAGTCTGGGGACCTGAGCTGGGACCCTGTGCTCGTCCTTTGCCAGATGTCTTTGCAGCCTCCCCATCACAGGTGCAATGTGGCCTTACTCTGGGCAGAACGGGCTTGGGCCAGGTTCGAGTGTGGCCCCAGGAGGCCTCGCTATCTCTGCCCTACTCCTTTAGCATGAGGACCGGCCTGGGAGAGCACTGGAGGGTGAAAGACTCCATGGAGCAGAGCTGTCCTGGCTGAGCCCGTGTGCTGACCAGCCAGCCCACAGCCTACTTGGCAGCTGGTCACAGCGGACTGGAAAGAAGGGGCTCCCTGGTCA